ACGGCTTTTGCTTGAGTTGTCGACATTATTGTTTGCGGATGATGTAAAAATCTGGAGAACGATAAGAAGTGAGGCTATTCATTTTGATCTCCAAGCTGACTTAAAGGAATCGGTTCAATGGGCTCGACGTTAGGATTTAGAAGTTAATTTTTAGGAAGAGTATGCTCATGCACATCGGAAACAGTAATAGTTTTAATTATACTATTGATGGTCTATCGGGGTCACCAGTTTCGTGCCTTTAGGTAACCCTCGTGCTATGGACAGAAGAAAACAGACTAGTAGTGATAGGTCTCTATTTAGATCTTCGCACAGTCACAGAGGAGCGTGGGATTACCTGTTCGGACAAACAAAGTCTCTCAACATTCAATATAAGATAATAGGAAATATAGGGCCTATGCAAAATAAGGAAGTGAATGAATACTTGAACTCTACTGTTTTGACATATGCTTAGTTGTTTGAGGTCAACTCTTAACCAATCAACCTAAACTGTTACACATTCTTTCCATGCATTCAAGAACATGAAGACTTAGGAGTAATAATAAGTCATGACTTGAAAACAACTACGTGTTGCAACACAGCTGCTGTCAAAGGTTGTCGTGCGTCATCGTCACTTTGCTGGGCATTCAAATGCTTTGACGAGGAAATGTTTCAAATGTTATATCCCATCTGTGTAAGTCCACACTTAGGGCACTGCATCCGAACAACTGGTCCTTGTCTGATAAAGGACACTAACTCACTTGAGCGTGTTCAGTGTGTGGAAACAAAATTAGTTAAGCGTCTTTCTAAACTCCCTTACGATGAGCGCTTAAAACGCCTAAACCTATTCCCCTTGTCGTATCGTAGGAGGCGAGGTGAATTCATACTGGAATTTCGTACCTTTAGTTGTGACTTAGGTGTCATTATCTCTTATCGTTTTGCTCCCTCCATCATTAATAATCTCTGAGGTCATAGCAAGTAGGTCCACAAATGGCGATCTAATAAATTTAAAGTGGGGTAGCGTTGTTCTCATCGAGTAGTCAATGTCTGGATCGCCTTACCCAAACAAGTGGTATTAGCCCCATCAGTGAATATTTTCAAGGAGAATCTGAACCTTCACTGGAAGCCAATTTGTCAGGATTAACACAGGTTCACCAACCTACTACCCTTAATACTGAAAACTGAAACAAATTATTGCGAGAGCGTATTTTTCAAACTGTACGTTGCGTTCGCAAGTTTTGTTTTTTTAATGGTCATCAAGCGTTCATTATAATTATTCTCAATCAACTTCCTGGTCTTTGACATGTGAGAATTCCAAAATATTTTATACTTTGCCAACTGTCCGTGTTTTATCTTAAGGTTTCTTTATATTCACTTTTGTGATTTTAATATTTAGACAGCATGCACACTTGTAGTATTTTCCCTCCACTTACTGTGTCTTTTGCGTCTCGAAAGCTCATCACTTGACTTGCGGATATGATTTGTCTGTTGTATGAAGTGTTAAGTGTTTCGGATAATTCGTTGCTTCGTGTGATGAGTTCCTCAACTTTGAGTAAATTTTCAGGGCATATCATGGAACCTCAAATGTGTTTTCAGAAAGGTCCTTATACAATGGTAAAACTACGTACAATTAGTTCTAGGACCGGCTTTTTTAGTCTTGACATTAACAAAAGTGGGATGGAAATTGACATTTTTCATCATGCAATGGGGGATGAGGGGAGTTCGCTGATTCAGTGTTAACACTGGATGGGTTATATAGTTCAACGCAAAATGGAGATTAATGTGAAAATTTGATTTTTGGACAGCCTTTGAGAAGTGTCAAGGTGAACTTAAAATACTTCACGTACTAGCTAGCGTCTAAAGAGGTTTATAAATTAGTGTTTGGAATTATAATTGGGATTTAAAATTTTAAGTTAGGGTTAAATATTAGAGTCAGGGTTTTTCTTATGAGAGCCACTCCCCAAGCCTCTGACCCAGAGGTCTGGCCCAAAAGGCAGTTGGGCAGCGTCAGGAGATGCAGTCTCATGGTACATGGTGACCATCAATAGGTACATACGGCATCCGTTGCCTCAGGACCGTGGAGCCAGCCCATGTACACCATTGGTTTGGAATCGGGGTTTTCCAACTCTCCTAGATGTATCCTTCATATTCGCCAACCCGGTTGAAGTACGGGATATTCGCTTTTTGTCCTCTCACTTTGGTAAACAACACCACCGCTGCGAGAAGGGAGTGAGTAGGACCTCCTTGTCAGTGGCTGTATCGATGTTGCTGTGTGAGAGCATTTCGTATTTTTGCTTGCTGTCAAAATCTTAAGTAGCCCATAGATTTTAGTTCTACAGATTTTCGAAGCCTATAGATTCGGTCAGCTTAAGTAATTTGTCAACTTTGTGTTTTTCGACCACAGCCCGATTATTGTTATTTAGTTTAGTTTTTAATCCGTACTTATCTAATGATTTGTACTTTTTCTCAACAGTATCAACAGGTTTGATAAAGATAAACGTTTTTTACTTCATAGTACAGTTATTGAAGTAGTGTAGAACCGAAACAACACTATGATTCCACTTGGTCGTTGTTTTTACTAGTTGCTTAAACACTAACAGCATTGGAGTTTGTCGTTTGATATCTACCACCCGTTTTATAAGGAAAACTTTCTGCATCAGTAATTATCAAATCTTCACCATACAGTACAAAGAATCCAGTAAACGACTAAGATAAGGTACGGAAAAACCATAAAAATGATTTGAAAAAGAGAAAGCCATACAGAGTACCGGTTTATGTTGAACACTGGAAAGATCTTGAGTTTTTATCAGTCAGATATGTATCTTTTGTTCGGTCATTCAGTCAGCTACAAAGTAGGACCAGGCACATATATGCATCGGTCCAAGGTGCCATACCTCATTAGCACAGCAAGATGAACACCGGATTCATAGAATCAGTTAATGCAATGGTGTAATATATAAAAGAAAGATTTTATGTAAGGATATAGTACAGAAAGAAAAAATTGGTTGGTAGAAAGAAAGATATGAAGCGATTTTAATCTCTTAGTTTAAGGGAAGACAGAGAGTGTATACACCGACGCCCTTGTGATCGATTCTGAGCCATGTCATCAAGAGTCTCCAACCATTGGTTACGATAGTCACGCAGACCCCGACCAAGTAGTGTGCATCTACCAACATTGGCTCAGATTAGAGGTTAGTGTCTTCAAGCACTGATGCCACGTTTTGGTTTGGCCGCCCCTAACTTTCTTCCAACCATCTCCGATACCGGATAGCATTGCACGTCGTGGTAATCGGTGTTCAGGCCCACGCGGCCTAACCATCTGTCATTATTATTATTATTATTATTATTATTTGAACATATATATATTGGTACAAGGCGACACCAAATATATATGCGCCACACAAATCTCATTTGATTTGTGTGAGGGCTGTGATACTGCCCGGGTGCCGAAACCGAATCAGGTGGTTCTCTTATGGGGCCACATCCGGAGCCTTCAACCTAAAGGCCTGATCCACAAGACAGTGGAACAACGTAAGGAGATGCCGTTCCATGGTAACCGGTGACCAACATTAGGTTCATACTCTATTTGTTCCTTGAGGATCCTAGAGTCAGCCCATGTACTCCATTGGTTTGGAATCAGTGTTTTCCAACTCCCCTAGGTGAACTCTCCATGTCCACCAACCCGGTTAAAGCATCGGACATTCGTTTTTGGTCCTCTCAATTTGGTAAACAACGCTCTTGGTGCGAGAAGGCAGTGAGTAGGACTTCCCTGGTGGTGATTGTATGTATGTGGCCATGTGAGAGCATTAGGAGAGAGAGATAGGGAGTGCTGACTCTCGCCACTCTCGGCCGTACCAGGGCATTTGGGGGCTCCATCTCAGTCGGTGAAGGTTCACAACCTCATCAAGTGATTTACCCTGCGTCTAACCTTACTATTACTTACCCGGTGATCCATCAGTATGTCTATGATGAAGTTAAACAAAAAATGGAGAATGTGGACAGCCTTGACGAACACCAGGCGAGGTTGCAAAAGTAGATGACAGATAACATCCAACTCACAGATTCTAGCTAAAATATTAGTCAACCTAATCATCAAAATTGAACCACTATCCTTGAAGACCTCTGGAGCCAATCTATCTGGACTAGCTGCTCTTTCTCGTTTCAGATTAGCTATAGCCTTTTGAACTTCAGCTAGAGTCGGGGGACCTACTTCAATGTTCCATTCACGCTAGCTGGGAATGTTGAGTAATTGTAGAGTAGCTGAAGGCCAGATGAACTGTTCTTTAAGGTGTTCCGCCCATCGTTCTAACCGTCTGGGCTGGGAGCAGATAAGTGTCGTCCTTTTCCGACATCGTTTCACTTACACTTGATGTTTTAGTTCCAGTTTCTTTTATGAGTCTGAAGAGCTGTCTTGTGTTACCTATAGCCGCCGCCTTTTCCATCTCTTTCGCTTTCGTTGCCCATCACTGCTCACGGTCGTTCCTTAGACTTTTGTTTAACCTATATCCGATTCGCTTCCGCTCATCATCGTGTTCAGAGCCTGATGGGATGAGTTTACGAGAATCCATCATTGCAATAGACCTCCATTCCCAGACAGCGTGAATGGAACATTGAAGTAGGTCCCCCAACTCTTGCTGAAGTTCAAAAGGCTATGGTTAGTCTGAAACGAGGAAGGGCAGCTGGTCCAGATGGACTGGCTCCAGAGGTCTTTAAGGATGATGGTCCAATTTTAGCGATTAGGTTGATTAATATTTTAGCTAAAATCTGGGAGTTAGACGTTATTCCATCTGACTGGTCACGATCAATTATCGTCCCAATATATAAGAAAGGGTCAAAATCATCCTATGACAACCACAGAGGGATTAGTTTAACTAATATAATATCTAAAATACTAGCCTCAATAATTATCAGACGCCTAACTAAGACTCGTGAACTGCAAACACGAGAAAATCAGGCTGGCTTCACACCTGGTCGTGGCTGCATCGACCATATATTCACCATTCGTCAGGTTCTAGAACATAGGCATACTTATCGGCGTCCGACAATGGTGGTCTTTCTTGACTTCAAGGCAGCATTTGACTCGGTAGACCGCGAGATTTTGTGGCAGTGTCTGTCATTGAAAGGCGTACCCCAGAAGTACATAAACCTTGTGAAGGCTCTTTACTCGAACACTACTAGCCGAGTCAGAGCTTATGGCGAACTGTCATCTGCTTTTGCAACCTCGAGTGGTGTTCGTCAAGGCTGTCCACTTTCCCCATTTTTGTTTAACTTCATCATAGATCTACTGATGGAAATCACTTTCTCGTCGACTGAATTCTCGGGTATTGATCTCCTTCCAGGAGGTCCACTTATCGACTTAGAATACGCAGATGACATAGTCCTGTTTGGTGAAGACGCTGACGAAATGCGGAGTCTTCTGGTAGCACTGAGCAACAATGCCAGAATGTTTGGATTGCGCTTCTCTCCCTCTAAGTGCAAGTTGTTGCTTCAGGACTGGTCTGCGTTAACACCTGAACTAAGGATAGGGAGTGAAGTAGTCGAACGCGTTGACAACTTCACTTATCTTGGAAGTCTGATCAGCCCTAATGGGCTGCTGTCTGACGAAATCTCAGCACGGATTCGAAAAACTCGTTTGGCTTTTGCCAACTTACGTCACCTGTGACGAAGGCGAGATATCCGTCTATCAATAAAAGGACGAGTATACTGCGCGGCAGTCTGTTCTGTTTCAATTTACGTCTGCGAAGCGTGGCCATTAAGAGTAGAAGACACTCGTAAGTTACTAGTATTTGACCACAGATGTCTTAGAAATATTGCTGGCGTCTGCTGGGATCACCAGGTAAGTAATAGTGAGGTTAAACGCAGGGTATTAGGGAATGATGGTAAATCAGTTGATGAGGTTATGAATCTTCATCGACTGAGATGGTTGGGCCACGTGTTACGTATGCCTGAATACCGATTACCACGACGTGCAATGCTATCCGGTATTGGAGATGGTTGGAAGAAAGTTAGGGGCGGCCAAACCAAAACGTGGCATCAGTGCTTGAAGACACTAACCTCTAGTCTGAGCCAATGTTGGTAGATGCACACTACTTGGTCGGGGTCTGCGTGACTATCATAACCAATGGTTGGAGACTCTTGATGACATGGCTCAGAATCGATCACAAGGGCGTCGGTGTATACACTCTCTGTCTTCCCTTAAACTAAGAGATTAAAATCGCTTCATACCTTTCTTTCTACGGATCAATTTTTTCTTCTTGTACTATATCTCTATATGCAATCTTTCTCTTATATATTACGACCTTTGACCTAACCACTGCTATGAATCCGGTGTTCATCTTGTTGTGCTGATGCGGTATGGCAACTTAGACTGATGCACGTATGTGCCTGGTCCTATGTTGTAGCTGACTGACTGACTGATAGACCTTAAAGGAATCCATTGGTTTTTTGTAACCCTTTGGTTTAAATCACTAATAGATGTCCCTGCTGTTTCCACAGCTGTTTGTATATCTTACCTAAGTGTAACCTCAGTTGTTCCTGGAATCTACTTTCGGCTTTCTCGTCACTCAATTTAATTCTAATGAGTCTTTTTAATGTGGCTTTTCTTCGACCACTGAGGTGAAAGTAGATGCGTGCCCGTATTAGGGCATGGTCGGAATCCAAGCAGGCATTCCACAACGAGTGATAATCTATCGAGCATCTCTATTGATGACTGATGGCAATATGGTCTATTTGAGCCCATTGTTGGTTTGGTGCAGGGGGTCGCTATGTTATTATCTAAATACCTTTTCAAATGGGTGTTATGATTTAGTTGTCAGGATATCTTTCGTGTTACCTAAATGAAAATTATATTGTAAATGTATACTACGTCCAAATCCATGTTACAATTTACAAGAACACTCGTAGACGTGTTACATGATTCAGTACTATCTCACGGCTTTTGCATTTATTTGTTTTAACATTCCAGACTTTTACTCATTAGCTTAAACTAATGCAAATAGCTTCGTTAGGTGATTTCAGTACAACGTGATTTCTAGCAGGCTTATTGTTTGATCCCTGCCGGGAAATCAGGTTGGTATTTTTCCTTTCTAGTCAGCTACTTTAAGCTCCACTTTTCTCCATTTCTCTTTTATTGTGAAACTCAAATTATTTTACGTATATTATCTCCGAAATTCCATAGAAAGTGTTCCGGGTAGTTATACCAATCGAGCGAGGTTTAGTTTTTGGACGAATCGCAATTGAAACTTGGTCTCTTTTTCAACAAGCAAAATCAATGACATTTCCAATTTGTACAGAAAGTAATCACGCTCCATTTAAAGATCAGATCGACGATGAGACCGTAATGTTTGATCTGGACATGAGCGTGGATACTTTGCCTGATACACCCCTAAAGAATGATGATGGTGACTCGGACACACAAAAGACTCGGGTAACGCTCTCATAATATTTTAATAGATTGTATTTAGACGAATCAGTCCAGTAATTCTCTTTCCGCCACTCCTTCAAGACGTGAAAGTAAAATGAAGTCAGATATGTCTCGTTCTACTTCCATCTCAGGACTTACTGATAATGTTAACTTGGAGGACATTTATGAGTACGACTGGGCTGATAGTGATTCTGAATCACCTGGTGGAAAACATGAGAAGGAGTCATACATAGTTCAAGAAGTTCTTGCTGACTTTTTAAAGGTTGGTTTTATCTCTTACTGTCGCTTTTTTCGTTCTAGAACTCAATGTATTAATACTGTAATATTTTTATAAGTCGCAAATGTTTAGTTTAGGTGTCAGGGGTATGTTCGTTTATCACAGAAATAATCCTTTAGTTATTTATGACTGACGTTCTATCATCTTTAGTTCTATATCTTTCTGTTATTGGGCTCTCGTTTCTCGATGTATATTGTAGTAACTTCAGCTGAAATATGAGCCTAAAGATCTATTCAAATTTTGCTGGAATTTGGGGAAGAATAGATCAACATAGCTTCCGCTCTTTTCAGTGCGTTGTGAAATAGCATTGCAGTAAATTAATCATTCAAAGGTCGAAAGATATCTGCAATAGGACACAAAAAAGGGATAAAGTAGGAAGGCATACTTTATTTATTTATTATTTATTTGAACACATAAATATTGGTACAAGAGAGCGCCAATATATATGCGCCACACAAAACAATGGGAATTCGAAGAGAAGTAGAAAGAAAAAAAAACTAAGGAACGCAAAAGAAAAAGAGAGTAATGACGAAGAGGTACAATCAGAAGAAATCTTTCAGGTAAAGGAGACACAACCACTTTTTATGAAGAAAGTAAAAGAAGGTTACAGCAGGATCGCCACTGGCTTCTATTCTGAGCCATATCTGATAACGTCTCTAGCCACTGTGTAGCACCATCTCTCGGATCCCAGCCAGGGAGTCGTGAAGGACCAACACAAGCCAGTCCTTTGCAGCTTTCTTTCATGCCACGACACCATGTCATGCACTGACCACCTCTCCGCTTCTTCCAACCAGTCCCAGAGTCGGCAAATAATGCACGACGTGGAATTCTCTGGGACGACATCCGGAGAACATGTCCAAGCCACCGAAGTCGGTGTTTCAAGATGGTGACACCAATTGAGTTATCATCTCTGTGCCCGAACACACGATGCCGAACCTCTGCATTACTGACATGTTGTTGCCACTGAATGTCAGCAATCCTTCGGAGACAGCGATGATCGAACACAGAGAGTCGTCTAACGTCCTCAACTCGGAAAGGCCAGGTTTCACAAGCATAGAGCAAAACTGCTCTCACCGACGCGTTGTAGATCCGGCCTTTTACAGCCAGACTAACATCACGAAGGCGCCAAAGGTGGCCCAGATTGGCATAAGCCGCTCTGGCTTTCACTATTCGTGCATTGATCTCATCACTCACACCCCCACCAGCACTTATGCAGCTACCCAGATACACGAACTTCTCAACTATGTCTATCTGTTCACCATCCAGGGTGAGTACAGGATTAGAATCCTGCCAGTCTTGTAGAAGTACTTTGCACTTCGAAGGTGCAAAGCACATACCATACCTACGGACATTGATTGCCAACTGATTAAGTGCGGATTGCATGCCTTGGGCATTATCGCACAGTAAGACAATATCGTCCGCATACTCAAGGTCGAGAAGTCTTTCTCCAGGCAACAGATCCACACCACCATTACTTACATTCATCAGAGCTGTTTCCAGAATGTCATCGATGGCAAAGTTGAAGAGGAATGGTGAGATTGGGCAACCCTATCTAACCCCACTGCTCGAATGGAACAATGGAGAGAGGTGGTTGTATGCCCTCACTCTGCCTGAGGTGTTTTTATACAGGGCTTTTAGGATGTTAATAAACTTCTCAGGCACACCCTTCTTCAATAGACAATCCCAGAGAACAGTCCTATCCAACGAATCGAAGGCAGCCCTGATGTCAAGAAACACTACGATTGTTGGCCTTTGAAAAGTATGGCGGTGTTCTAACATTTGGCGGAGGGTGAAGATATGATCAATACATCCTCGACCAGAACGAAACCCAGCCTGCTCCTCGCGAGTCAATCTTTCTCGGGTTTTGAACAACCTACGAAGAATGACGGAAGCCAATAGCTTGGACGCAATCGGAAGTAAACTTATCCCCCGATAGTTGTTCCAAGAACGACGTGAACCCTTTTTAAAGATAGGGACAACTATCGACTCATTCCATGACGTTGGTACACTCTCTAGTTCCCAAACCTTTGTAAACAACGTCGTCAATTCCTTAGTCAAAAAGTCACCACCATCTTTAAAAAGAGCCGGAGGTAAGTCATCTGGGCCAGATGATTTGTAACGCTTCAAGAGTTGGAGTTCCTTGCGGACTTCCTCCTCATTTGGTGGATCAGTCGTCACCGGCCATGGAGGGCGGGACAGTCTGACCGACGTTACCGGAGCAGCAGGCCAGTTGAACTGCCCTTCGAAAAATTCTGCCCATCGTCCAAGACGTCGATGGATGTTAGTGATTGGCATCCCATCATCCTCGCAGATTGTTTCACTCACACCAGACTTCTTGCTGCCAGTGGCTCGGATGAGTTGGAAGAGCTTCCGGAAGATACCAGATGCAGCTGCTGCTTCCAGCTCATTAGCACGCATCGACCACCAGGCTTCTCGGTCCTTACGCAAGCTTTGCCCGATTTCCTTACGTAAAATCCTTCGTTTATGGTCAAACTCACGGTTACCCGGAGTAGACCGACGGGCTTCAATGAGTTGTAAGGAACCAGAAGAAACCCAGTGCTTAAAAGCGGGACGTTTCGCAAACCCACAACTGACTGTTCCCGCCATTTTCATGGCGTCATGCAATTGCAACCAATGCTCATCCATAGTTTTCGGTGGAGTGGTAGCTAGCCTAGGGGCTAGCTCGGTTCGATACTTACTTGCAACAGAAGTTGCAACCAGCTTGCTAACATCAATCTTTTGGTGGTGGTCACTTCGTTGTCCACTGAAAAGTAAGGCAAGATTGGCGCAGACCAAGGCATGGTCAGAGTCCAGATAGGTACTCCAAAAGGAGCGGCAGTCTTTTACACAACCACGCCAGCGGTAGCTGATCGCGATGTGATCAATCTGAGTCCAGGCTTGAGATGCAGAGGGAGGACGCCAGGTGGCACATCGGCGATGACTGTGCCGAAAGTTAGTGCTAGCCAGAAACAGGTTGTGGTCTGCGCAAAGTTGCAGTAGACGGTCCCCGTTATCTGACCTGCGACCAACGAGTCCCCATCGGCCACCTAAACGACTCTCTTCTGTGCCTAGACGCCCGACCTGAGCATTCAAGTCTCCGGCTAGTACTACAATATCTGTCGAACGCACTTTCTGGAGAAGAACTGATAACTGGTGGTAAAACTCATCCTTGATTGCATCCGGGCTGCAATCTGTCGGGGCATAGGCGGAGATGACGAAAAGACATCGTTTCTCACGCCGATTTCTTCTCACTTTGATGGAACTTTCTAATCTAACAGCACATAACCGACTGTTAATGGGGATCCAATCGACTAGTGCTGCCTCAGCTCTAGCGCTTAGTGCGACACCAACGCCAGCAAGACCAGACGAAGATGCCACAGGGTCCCCGGATAAGCGCACGTAAAACAAGCTTTTCGAAGCGACAGATGGAGATCGAATTTGTAGTACTTCGCCAGAGTCTTGAATACGGGTCTCGGATAGACAACACACGTCGATATTAAGACTTTCCAAAGACATAGCCAACCCTATCTGTTGTCCGACCTGCATAAATGTGCGAACGTTGAAGGCAGCCAGTTTGAATGATGCACGTGGTTTCAGAAAATCTGCTTCAGTCCTCGTATTCGGTGGTAACATACAATTTTCAACCGGACAGTGACTCGAGAACGTTTAGATACAGTCGGAATTCCACCAAAGACGAGCCGCTGTATAAGTATAAAAGAGGGTGAATAATGTGGAAAATAATAATAATAATGATAATAATAACAATAATGACAATAATAGTAGTAATAATAATATTAGTATTAATAATGACAATAATTGTAGTGATCATAATTTGAATCAATTGATTGTTTTTCAAAGCGACAAAAGTAGTTTCCATAGACATAAACAGTTCATCATTTGTGTGTGGGCTGTGATACTGCCCGGGTGCCCAAACCGAAGCAGGTGGTTATCTTAGGGGGCCACTCCCCGAGCCTTTGACCTAAAGGTCTAACCCACAAGGCAGTGGAGCATCGTAAGGAGATGCAGTCCCATGGTAGCCGGTGACCAACGATTGGTTCATACGCCATTCGTTCCCGCAGGATACTGGAGCCCATGTGCACCATTGGTTTGGAATCCGGTTAAAGCGCCGGACATTCGCTTTTCGTCCTCTCATTTTCGTAAACAACACCCCCGCCACGAGAAGGCAATGAGTAGGACTTCCCTGGCAGAGGCTATATACGCGTGGCCGTGTGAGAGTATTTCGAGAGGGAGAGCGGACTCTCCCCACTCTCGGCCGTACCAGGGCATTCAGGGGGCATACTTAGTAAGAAACAATCAGTTTATTAGAATAAATAAAATAATAATCAGCACAATATTTCAAGAAGCATTCTCTCTGAACACTAGTCATCGTTGCGTAATCTAAATCCCATATTAACTTCTACGGTTTCTACACTTTTTACATTAGAGGACATAAAAGTTATAAGTTTTTGTTTAAAACTGTAGAAATATATCTATGTAAGTGAAACAAATGGTTTTTGTGATACAAGTTAGGTTTTTGATGATGAAAACTCCATTATCTGTAAATTTCTACCGTTTTGATTGATTGCAGTATAAAATTTTGTTTATGGCAATTATATTGTTTACTAGATATTTTGAATTACCGTTTGTTTTGTAACGTGTAGCTGCAGCTAATCCATATTTATTTAAGTCTCTTTATTCGTATGAATGGATGAACGTGAAGTCATGGTTAACTACAGTAACCAAAGTATCTCAGCAATAGTATGATTCAGTGTTTGAACGGTTTTTCGTAGGTAAATTTGTGGGGTTTTTTTTCATATTACGTTTTATTAAGAACCTTCGTATGTATTTTGTAATGGATTTTATTCCTAATTTTGTTTCTATCAGGTTTTCAAGCAGTTCTGTTGATTAACGTTTTTCTCTTTTTATTAGGTTAAATCTTTTAAACGCAAGTACCCTGATCTAGCTAGGCGCGCTATGGATGCTTATGAACGATCGTGGTTGCAACAAGAGGGGATTGTTCCCGTTGGTCGTGCAGACCTTGGTCTCACAGCACTCAAAACTGATGATGTTATGAAGCTTTTGCAACAGGATTACCCAGAGATACACATTGCTCTCACGGATTTGTTTCGTCGACGAAAATTTAAAACGGCTGTCGAGAATCAAAAGCGTCAATATGAAGTGAGTTTGAATAGTAGAAATCATTTTCTTGACCAAACAGCTTCTACTTTACAATTTCTAACTAATACAGCACCCAGCTGTGATTTTTTTAGGCAAATTTGGTTGAAGTAGTTATCAGCGGGCACTCCTAATGAATTTTGTTCAATGTATCTAATGAAAGCACACTAAGGTATCAGCGAATTCTTTGAGATGAAGAGAGAATCCTTAGTTGATGGAATGTGCATACATAATACTTTGTTTGGTGTTATGTATTGCTTAGAAAATCGTGGTCTATAAAATCAAATGATTCTGTTAGGCTAAATAAAATGGATTGTATTTAGATACGAATGATTACACATATTTTCAGGAATTCCGAGGGGAGTGACTGTGTTTACCACACCTTTCATCAGATTCCGTTTGATTTATTTTTCCCAGAGAGCTGTCAAATTTTAGTTATAATTAGGTTATGAGATTTTAGGTCACACGTTTTGTGTGATTATTAGTAGTCATACCTGGTTTTCAAGGTTTAAGTGGATAGATTAAATGGAAATCATCTACATGGTGGTTGTAGTTCGACATTTGTAACTGAGTGATATTATGCATACCAAATAATAAGATGAAGCCAATTTTCGACTCATTGAACCTTGTATGTTTATTAGTTTTCTGTCATTTGGAAGGCAGAAAAATGTACACATCAATCTAAGGTTACTAAGATATAAGGGTTTAAAGAATATAGTGTCCCTGGCATGAGAACTATCATCCTTTAGTTACTTAGATTCCTTGTATCATCATCTTTTCTGGAATGACTTTAAATTCTAAGGTTTGGGTTGAACCTATGTTTACGGTGTTAATTCTTTACATAGGCTGCTCGTATTGAACGTGGAGAGGCTCGAGCTGAAGCAGCTCGCAGACGAGCGTTAGATTCTGCCGCCGATTACAATCATCGCTTGATTACCGAACGTATGAGTTCAAGACGTTGTTATTGGGATTTACAGACAATGCAAATTCACATTCCCCAGAGAATTTATAAGTTATTAGAATATCCAACTTTTCCCAATGGTGCATATCCTGTGGCAGTCATACCTGGACAGTTTGCAGAATATTTTATGAGCTATACTCCTGAACAGTTATCATACCTTCCATTATCACGTGTTTTATATCCACATCCACTACGAAAACATAGAAATCCACCTCCTCTCCCCACAACACTTCGATTTGGTTCGATTAAGCCGAAAGTCAATCCACCTACTATGACCTCTTGTGATTTCGGTGATCAAAATTCATTTGGTTTAGACCATTCTAGATCTATTGACTCTTTAAACCATCAAACCACAAGCTCAATGGAAGGTCTTCGAACTAGATATGCAAACGGATCACTATTATCAAGTGGTGTTGCTAAGTAAGACCCTGAACATTTACAGTATCGCTGAATACTTGCATTTTACTTTAATTTTAACGTGTATAGACTTTTTTCATAGGACGTCCTGTTTAAAATTTTCACTAAGACATTGATCAATTGTTAAAGTAGTAAAGTGATACAATGCTCAAGAATTAAGCCTAGCGTTCAGGTCCTAATTGTTTAGAGACTGAGTGACCTATAAACTATGGCATTTTATCATATTTAATTCGTGTTAATATTCTGTATATATGTCATTGTATTACATAAAAAAACTAATTCTTTTGAGGTCTCATTCAGGAAGGCTGCTGTGCAAATTGGATTTCTCCCTCTAGTTAGCAAAGAGGAAAGAATATGATAGACGTGGAGTCGTTCACTGTATTGAAGTTGGAGTTGAAAAATATTAGCTTATTACGAATATGTACTACAGATGCGTTCGAAGAAGACATGAAAATGCTAACTGAAACATTGATATTAAACGGTTTCCCATTGACATTTACAAATCAGTATAAAAGTCAGTTAACATCAGAACCAATTCTTAATTCTGTTGCGTAAAAAGGTTTTATCATTCAGAGAAGAGTCGAGCAGCATAATTTTGAAATAGAGACTAAGAGTACCCATCGAGGATATGCACTGTGCTGCTAAATTGGTTATCATTGAAAAAAATAAGGCCTATGATTCCACAGAGGCCTAAACATGTCACATAATTACATCACGTCCCATTATATTTACCACATGTTTCTGTGGACACACGCATGGGGAGGAGTGATCGGACAAGGATTATGGAACATGTACCCAAATGGCTCCAGATTCAGTTAGTATCAAATTCTACAACAAACGTAGGAAATAGGAAACAGGCCATATTATCTAGATTAACACAGTTGTTGAAATGTTACATAGGAAATGTCAAGAGTGAATTCTCGGGTTTATAAAGGACTAACGTATTAGGGAGTTCAAACTTCCCTTATCTTTATCTTAACCGTGAATTTTTCCTGGTTATCTTCAATCCATTTTACGACCTAAGTTGGTTTAACATCTTCATATTCTTTTCATATCACTTCCATCAATGTTTTTCTTTCCTTTATTTTTATTTATCACTTTATATTTGTCCAACTTCCTGCTTAACTGATCATTATTCGTTTTCATTTATAAATGCTTTGAAAAGTATAGGCATGGTCAGATTATTCGAAACGTGTAGCACAAACACATCACATTTTTTAAGCCAAATATTTGTTCTTATTATTCCATCACGATTTATTAAAGGGACTAATTGCTCTAAATTATCGAAATTCGAAAACGAAGTAAATCAAAACGAAAAGTTGTTTTCATTAATTTCATTATCATGCTCTAAAGTTATGGGTCATTAATTATCGTATTACAATGTTCAAAATAAGCCATACATTAGTGAATTAGACGATTTTATGTCTTTAACGTTTAACATAGGATAATTCACTTTTGTTTACCTTAGTCTGGCCATTATGATACAATCATTCAGTCATCATTAACATAGAGCCTGGCACATACGTATGTCAACTCAAGTTGATGTACCAGTGTGGGACAACATTTAGAGCAAATAAGTTCGAAATAATGTTTTAGCAATGACAATGAATAAGACCAAGCATTGAGATTGGAATTTGAAAAATCTGAATCAAAGGGTATAAACGAAGGAATACTGGAATTCAAAACAAGTGAAAAATAAAGAGTGGATGTGTCTGCATCATCATGAATTTCTAACGACACAATAACTATGGACTCATCACTGTAGAACCTTATGATAAAAATAACTATTCTCCTTAATATTTTCTGTTTTTTAAATGTCCTATGGGGATTATTTGCTTATCACTTCCTTTCTTCAGTTCAAACATGTTAGTTGGTGATAAATCATCGGTTTCTGATGTGGAAACAGATAAAATCAGTAATTCGATCTATCGACGATATAAAACAAATACAGAGATAAATACAGAAAATCCTATTTGTGTTGTATGTGGCCAATTAGCTATGAATTATATACGTTGTTTTGAGTGTAAATTAATTGGTCATCCAAAATGTTTGGATATACCTGATTCTATGCTATCAGGTGTGAAAAGGTAAAACAAAATTTATTATTGTTATTAACTCATATATATTGGTTGTTTGAATCTTCTTATTGATATTTAGGACAGCGATTGATCAGCCTTTTATTGGCACATGTACATCCGGTGCAGATTGCCGCAATATTAACTTAGGTCAACAGTGTTATGAGCAGAGATAGATAGTGTCTATTTGGGATTCATCAGCTAAATGTACCTGCAACCTAGAGTTGACGTACACACGGAAACTTTTTTATATTTATTTGAACACATAAATATTAATACAAAGAGGCACCGATTATATATGCGTCATACAAGTCACTTGATTGGTGTGTGCACTGCTATACTGCCCGGGTGCCCAAACCGAATCAGGTAGTTTTCTTATGAGGCCACATCCGGAGCCTTCGACCTAATGGTCTGATCCATAAGGCAGTGGAACAAGGTAAGAAGATGCAGTTCCATGTTGATCGGTAACCAACATTAGGTTGATACTCTATTTGTTCCTTGAGGATCCTAGAGCCAGCCCATGTGCACCATTGGTTTGGAATCAGTGTTTCCCAACTCCCCTAGGTGAACTCTCCATGTTCACCAACCCGGTTAAAGCATCGGAAATTCGTTTTTGGTCCTCTCAATTTGGTAAACAACACTCGTGGTGCGAGAAGGCAGTGAGTAGGACTTCCTTGGTAATGTTTGTGTGCCTGTGGCTATGTAAGAGCATTTGGGGAGAGAGGGGTGGCTGACTCTCCCCACCTTCAGCTACACCTGGATTGATCAGTTGCAGTTTTAAATATCAATGGGGAAATCCGAACAACCAATATATATATATATATATATATAATATATATATATATATGAACTAGGATTACAACTCATCCGATTTCACAAGCCAGTGGCTATCTTTACTCATTAGCTAAGTGGATAACGCGATAATGTTTGAAGCGAAAGGTACTGGGTTCGAGTGCTGGAGTGAACATCGACTCTTGGATGCACACACATTCGGCTGACGAATCCCGAGTAAGACGAAACACATCCTGGATTGCATTGCTAGCCACCATCAGTTTCTGTTTAAATATTATTGATTTTGTTGTGAGAATAGATGGATAGTGGTTAGTATTTGAATCCAGGGCTCGCGTTTCTTCCTGTTGGAGACTCATCAGCTGGATGCACCTTCACCCGTTGTTCAAATTGAGACTCGAACTCAATACCTTTTGCTTTAAACACCCAACGCATTATTCACGGAGTTGTATCAAGGAATCCGCTTAGGATGCATGTATACCAACTACGACTGATCAAAATTCAGTCCGATTTATCAATAATTAGATACTTCAAATCTTTCCTGAATTAATACAATTGTATACTTGAATTTGATTAGTTTCTCCATTCACATTGTAGTTTACTGTTTTTCTAATTGATATGTTAAAAAGGTTTTTTTACGATGATAATTATGGGTTAGTCATACAATCCAGCTCCTCAGGTGTGGAGTTTGAACACCTGCGACTGACTAGTTGAAAGCCGAGTTTGTGGAAACCGGGAAATAGTAGGATGACTGTTTAAAAGCACGAAAATAAGTTAATGATTCAAAACTACTTGAAGTAATAATAATAACAATAATAGAAAAATAATAATAGTGGGGGAAGCAGTTTATTTAGGAAAGATACATTTAGAAAGAATTATTTCAGTTAAAGAAGTTACATTCACTTTTATGACTTAAAATGTTGCAGCAGGATCACCACTGACTTTTATTCTGAGCCATGTCTGATAACATCTCCAGCTAGTGTTGCACTATCACTAGGACCCCAACCAGAGAGTCATGAAGGACCAGCAGAAGCCAGTCCTGTACAGCTTTCTTTCATACCACGACACCGTGTGCACTGATCACTTCTCCGCTTTCTTCAATCTATTCCAGCGTCGGCAAATAATGCGCGATGTGGAATTAACTGGGACGACATTCGTAGGACATGTTCAGACTACCGAATTCTGTGTTTTATGATAGTGACACCGGTTGAATTTTTATGGTCGTGCCCGAACACACGATGCCGAGTCTCTGCATTACTAACATCGTGCTGTCACTGGATGTCGGCACTCCTTCGAGTGATCAGACACAGAGTCGTTTAACATCCTCGACCTGGAGAGGCCAGGAGCGAAACTGCTCCCACCGACGCGTTGTAGATCCGACCTTCTACAGCCAGACTAACATCACGAAAGCACCAAAGATGGTCCAGATCGCTATGAGCCTCTCTGGTTATCACTATGCGTGAATTGATCTCATCAAAGTATTTCTAAATACCTGATACTTTTTACAAGCAAGATCAACAGAAAAATACAGAGTTCCACAATTTTTTTAAAATGCCGAGTGAACATATAAATATATATATATATATAGGAGGAATTTTCTATTTCTTTTTAATTTAACAATATATAGAGCAATACTGTTGACATTCATAAATTTATGTCGCTCGGTGTATTTTCTTGTTTATTTTTAGCTATGATTGGACATGTTTAGAGTGTAAACGGTGTGTGGAATGTAATGATTCAGGTCAAGAAGATCAAATGATGTTTTGCGATCGTTGTGATAGGGGTTATCATGCATTTTGTGTTGGTTTAGGACGAATTCCTAATGGAAATTGGGAATGTTTATTATGTGAATCATTGCCAACTCCGCCTAGGAAAGGACGTCCTAGAAAAAATAGACCTAAAGACTCGGATGATTTACCATGGGGTTATAGTGTGAAGAAACCACGTAAATCAATATTGAAGCGGAAAATTTGTCAAACACCAGGTGTCAATGATACCAAAGACACATCTTTAGCATATAGTTCTTATCCATACGGTAGCGTCCAACCAATAGTCCCTGGTGCTGAATTAGTACCTAAACGACGTCGAGGCCGTCCTCCGACAAAAAATCGCGTTATTGTATCTCTTCCACCCCCGTCTTCTCCATATTTTTCGAACCCAACCAACTTTAGTCCTACTCGTTCAGATGTTTCTATACCCCTACCAACCTCTCTGCCTACACCATTATCGATCAAAGTGTCTATGATTGAAAGTGAACCTTCAGGACTATGTCCAGTTAACGCCATTTCAACTAAAATAGAATCCTTTGTTGCGGAAAAAGTTGATATTTCCGAAAAGTCTGAACATTTAAAACCGGATAACAATGATAGTATTATTAATAATAGTAGTACGGTCGATCAAACTGAAAATGACATTGTGAAACATGTTGGTGAAATGCAGATTCCTTCTTCAACAAATTCATCTGAATCAAATAATATTGAAAACTGATTATTCATTTAAACTGTTAACCATCTTTTACCCTCCAGACTTGTATATTTATCCATTGTACTTAAAAGTCCCTAGTTTCATTTTTAATAACTAGTTTTAGTTATCTTTCTTTCCATGTATTTGTAATAATGAAATTTATATTCTATATTTCAAATATGGTTGAATTTCTGAAATATATTTATTGTCATAAGTCAGTTATTTTGTTTGTTTATGGATTATTTATTTATTTAAACATAAACATTGGTACAAAGGAGCATCGAATAAATATGCGTCACACAAGTCACTTGATTGGTGTGTGGACTGCTATACTGCCCGGGTGCCCAAACCGAATCAGGTAGTTTTCTTATGGGGCCACATCCGGAGCCTTCGACCTAATGGTCTGATCCATAAGGCAGTGGAACAAGGTAAGAAGATGCAGTTCCATGTTGACCGGTAACCAACATTAGGTTGATACTCTATTTGTTCCTTGAGGATCCTAGAGCCAGCCCATGTGCACCATTGGTTTGGAATCAGTGTTTCCCAACTCCCCTAGGTGAACTCTCCATGTCCACCAACCCGGTTAAAGCATCGGAAATTCGTTTTTGGTCCTCTCAATTTGGTAAACAACACTCGTGGTGCGAGAAGGCAGTGAGTAGGACTTCCCTGGTAGTAGTTGTATTGGTGTTGTCATGTAAGAGCATTTCGAGAGAGAGAGAGAGGGGTGACTGACTTTCCCTACCCTCGGCCGTAACAGGGGATTTGGGGGTTTATAGTTATCAGTATGAGTTATTTGTGGAGATTGTAGTGTTTTCCCAGTTGGAAACACAAGTCTATTTAAGTTAAACCAATATATTGGTTTTCAATAGTGGACAAAGGCTGTCAAATGCTTCTAGGTTTTCAATGGTAATCTTGCTTAGATTGACTTGTAATTTCAATTGTGAAAAGATTTATTGTTACCAGTTAAATAAAAAAAACCATGAAATTCAACGAAAGGATCTCTTTTCAACGAATTTATTATCAAACTGTACAATCATATATTAATATGTATTAATTCTGTAAAGACATAAAGAAAGAATGAACATGATTATTTTATAAATGGATTATAGTACTAGATTATATACTGTTGTATAATTTCTACAAGGCATGTGCAATTAATAAGAGTGTAAAATTAACTATTGAATTCTAGTGTGAATAAAGTGAAATAATTAAAATATTGTTAAAGATATTTTATAATTTGTGGCCTATATTCCCTGTTAATGTATAATGTGATGATACAGTTAATTAGAGAGCAGCGAATTATCGATCGAACCAGTGACGCATAAAACACGTGCGAGTAGCCTAGAGTCCTTATTGGTCTCGCTTCCTGTCTAGTCCAGCCAGTGAAGTCCAGAACACCAATCTCAGCCTCTGCAATATGAATCATTTGTTTCAAGCGTACTGGGTTTATATATTAATCAGACAGACCACATCGTACCATAAAATAGGAAACAACATTTGTGCAAGATTTAACGAAAAGCGGTTTTGAATGTAGGAGGTAGTGATTAATAGACAAGGCATAACTCAAGAATGGTAAATCGTATAATAATAGTTCATAGGTCAATATAAAGCTCATAGTAAGAGGTACATGAATATGAATAGTTTAGTTATTTAACAATTATACAATAAAAATATACTTCTAGTAATGGTCTATAAATGGATTCCAAAAGTTACCGTTCATTATTCTCATCAGGGTATAACAAGACAATAGAGAGGGGTTAAATGAAGTGAAGTAATGTCAGAAACAATCATAAGTAAAATCATAGGGATATTAGAAGTAATTAGAGAGTGAGGACATTTTTTTCACTTACAAAATCAATTAAATGAAAATAATGTTATGTTAAGGCTATAGTAAAGACAAGGAGTTCCTGCTTCGTTTCATACATAGCAGAAAGTTTTGTTATTCGAGAGAGAAATCTTGGTCGATGTGAACGAATCTTACATGCTACCTTAAAATCGATTTGTGGGTTAGTTGAGTGATTAGAGTTGACTAAATGTTCAGGGATAGAACCAACTAGTTTCCTCTCACCCTTGTCGAACTATACTGGGATATGTTCTCGTATGTGTGTTGAAAGCATGCTTTGGCTATGATCTATGTATCTTGCTCCACAGGAATAGGTAAACTGGTAGATACACATAAAGGCAGTCAGATGAGTGAGCTTTATCCTTTACGGATACGAAAAATAGGTTTCTGGTTGTAAATGTTAATTTCAGTTTAGGTGCATAGGACATTGTTCTAATTGTTAAAGATAACCAATTCTTAGGTTGATTATAAGTTGTTTCACTTTTAAATAATAGATTCATATAAAAATATTTACTTGGAACAGAATTTTAGGAATCCTTGTTTCAAATTTATTTTATCTTCTTATTTAAGAAATAGCTTGGATAGTTGTTTCCAGTTGACTTTTTTTTTCTGAGATAAGCAAATTCTTTCTCAACACCCCAGATCTTACATATTCGGTAACATGAAGAGTGAACAATATTTCTCTTTCTACTTAAAATAACCCAGCTATGGAATTTGGCTATTATTCACACCATATAATGTTGTGTTGTAATATTTCTGTTATATTATCATGTTTACTTATAATTAATATTTTGATCACGGAATTAATACTTAAAATTTTACATACATATATCTACTAATGTATAGACTGATACTCAGTTTGTTAGAAAGAGATCTCTTTGTTGAATTTCATGTTTTTAATTGTTAGTTAAGTTTGTCATAGCTTATGAAATGGTACACTTCCCTGATCATATTTAATTGGGAAGATTTCTGTTTATTAACCAAATAAAGTTATGTACAGTAGTTCACTTTGTATTATTATTGTTTATATTACATGAGATATCAAGGTAGGAAACCTGTATAGACTGTTTGTAATTGTCTTTGTAACGTCACTAAATAAGTAATACTGAGGTTATACGTAGTTTTATGCAGAAATCGTGATTCAAACGGTTATGCTGCTCAGGTTCATATCCTGCTCGCGACGAACTTTGTCACCAAAAGCCCTGGTACGGCCGAGAGTGGGGGGAGTCCTCCCTCCCTCTCTAAATGCTCTCACATGGCCACGTGTATACAACCACTCACAGGGAAGTCCTACTCACTTCCTTCTCGCACCACGAGTGTTGTTTACCAAATTGAGAGGACCAAAAACAAATGTCCGATGCTTTAACTGGGTTGGTGGACATGGAGAGTTCACCTAGGGGAGTTGGAAAACACTGATTCCAAACCAATAGTGCACATGGGCTGACTCTAGGATCCTCAAGGAACAAATAGAGTATCAACCTAATGTTGGTCACCGGTTACCATGGAACGGCATCTCTCTACATTGTTCCACTGCCTTGTAGATTAGACCATTAGGTCAAAGGCTTCGGATGTGGCCCCACAAGAGAACCACCTGAATCGGTCTGGGCACTCGGGCAATATAACAGTCCACACACCAATCAAGTGACTTGTGTGACGCATATATATTCGGTGCCCCTTTTTACCAATATTTATGTGTCCGAACAAATAATATTATTTATTAAGTCGGAACATATGTTGTGCCTGCTTAGTTGACGTTTACTTTGACTTCATATATTGATTAACTCGCAAGTAAATCAGAAAGAATCTAGCGATGGCCAAATCAGGAAATAACATTATTACGATTGTTTTGAACGGCGTTAACATTATTTATAGTTATTACTCTTATATAAATATAGTGCTGTAAATATTGTTTATATTTACTCTATCCTACTAATCAGATTTAATTGATGAACCATTTTCTTATTGCTTTTATAGTCATGTAAGTGGTCAGATCATTGACGTGAAGTTTTGATATTGTTACTGTCACTGTTCATCAATCTTTTGATGTATCTAATAACTTTAGGTCCGTTTTTTTATTGTTAGTAACTGCTCAACTATATTACTTTCAGTTCGAAAAATGGTAATCTTTAGTCCATAAAGCCAATTACTACTGCTATGAGGTAGGATATTCAACTCCTATTTCAACTCCCAATACAATTACTGTAATCTATGGTTAAAAACTTGGCGTTGTTACTCAGAATGGATTACAGTAATGTAGTTGGATACGTTCTTAATCATCCTCTAAATCTAAATTTTTAATATTAGATTTCAATTTTTCGCTTGATACTCATTTATTCCCGTTGAACTATACTTCGCATTGTTGAGTTTCCACTTACCATTAATTTAACTCCTTTTCTTTCTGTTAAATTTCTTTCCTCGTTTCAACATAATTTATTGAGTACTACTTGTTCAAGTTTGAATAATACATCTGAAGTCGATTAAAGACAGAGAACTATTGTAGTGGAAGCTATTCACAAGGATTTTGTAAGTAGTATTTTGTGAACCGTGGCGTCGAAGTTGTAACAATTGTCGGAAAGAGAGTAAAGTGTTTTAGTTCACTGAAAGCACACAGATAACAGAACACTTGAAGGCCAGTTAAGAAGACAATTTAGAATGTGAAACATACAGAAAGATGCAAATGGAAGATTGAAGGCTATGTGTATGTATTTCTATCAACCAAAGCACGTGTTTACTGCGCAGCAGTTCGTTCCGTCCTACTTTATGGCAGCGAAACATGGCCGGTAAGAGTGGAGGATATCCGTAGGTTACTAGTATTTGATCATAGGTGTCTTCGAAACATTGCTCGTATATCCTGGGACCATCGAGTAAGTAACACAGTTGTTAAGAAACGGGTACTAGGTAAGGATGGCAAATCGATTGATGACGTAGTGAAACTTCAACAGTTGAGATGGCTGGGACATGTGTTACGTATGCCAAACCACCAACTGCCTCGACGTGCGATGTTTTATGGTATAGGAGTAGATTGGAAGAAAGTTAGAGGCGGCCAGACCAACACATGACACATGTCCATGAAGTCACTGACAAGTGGACTGAGTTGTGTTGGTAGGTGCAGACTACGTGGTTAGGGACCGCGAGATGATAACAACCGATGGTTAGAGACCCTGAATGACATGGCTCAAAATCGTTTGCAATGGCGCAGGTGCATCCACTCTTTGTGTTCTCCCAAATTCTCATCTTCTGAATTTTTCATATCCCTTCGTCTTTCCAAATTTATTTCACTGAATTATACTCCTTGAATAACGTCTTCAAACCCTAACGTTTCCGATTACTGCTTATACTTTTACTAACTCTACCACCATGGGGTTTGAA